GCTGTCACTTTTAAAACAACACAGGCATATAATCTGCGTAATAGCGAGAACATCATCCCAATAAATAAGTATCGCTCAAAACTTCGATGTAGGTTTTTCATAACGCAATACAGTATGCTGTGGAACAAACTTCCCGCTCCTATACGAGCATGCCGTTCTCTCGGCCAGTTTCAACGATTACTTAGTAAATTCCTCCTATCTAACGAATCTCATCAATTCGTTGACGGCCAAACCACAAACAGTAATACCATGTCAAATGGTGCTGCTGGTACCTAGACTCAAGGGAGATTAACTGCAATGACAAAAGTATACAATGTCGAAAACTAAAAGCATTGGTTAAGTTGAAATCTAATTTCTAAAAAAAAACCTGACCAAGAGAGAAAAGGAAGCGGAGTGTGATACGATATGCGACAGTGAACTCAGTAGCTACTTTAATGTAGCCTACATTTCTTAATAACCTAACTGATCTCACAACTTAACACCTATTTCCTAAAATTCGTCCCTTAAAATGATCTCTCTACTCCGAAAAGATAAAAGAAATGTCTATCGGTGCACTTTCATAGCATGCAACATGTTTTATTGCTTGCCCTTTGTCATCAGTACTTACGTGTAGGTGCTCTGCACCAACATATTGTTTCGGTAGCCCCGATATGGTAATAATCAATAGGTAACACCATGATTATCCCTCCCCAGTGACCAGATAAAGGGTGGTTACCGTCTTAGAAAAAACCATGAATTTCACTCAAATGTTTATAACTTTATCAAACGTTTGTACACAGGTATATAACAAGTGAATATATGGTCCAAAATCCTCTAATCTCTCCATTTCGTGGTGGTATCTTCGGCATCAGATTAAATTTCATTGCTGACGTGCCCACCTTCATATTCTTCTACCTAAGCTTACCCCTAAACAGCTGGTTCTGGATACTTCTTGAAGTAAGTTTTGTAGCCAGTACTATGAACTCACCCAGATGTATCATGGATGATCTACTGCTTATTTTTGAGCTCCCGTTTCGAATTTCGCCTGCTGCTCTGTGCTGTTATTCACTTTTCAGGTTTACCTAACCAGTCCTGCATTCAAATGGAGTCGTAGAAATCGCATTTGTCAGTGCGCACTTTGTCATCAAAACCTTATGACGGACGCGCACGCCCCAAGGTCATGACTGTGATGCGGCTCCACCTTCAAGAATATTGAAAGATTCAAACAATAACCGAATAATTCCTAATGTCGAACTGAGCCTGCTTCAACACACCCCTTACATGCCATGAATAGCGGTATCTAACGTGTGGCTTCACACTGTGCATAATAGTCATTTCTCATCGCCAAAATGATCAAACCTGTAGACTGGCTTGTAATCATGCAACCTACGTTGTATGAAATACATATATTATTATTATTAACTAGAGGGTCAATTACGAGGAGTGCAACGTAACACGACAGCGTGCCAAATGGCGAGGATGCTTGACTGGGTGCCTTCAGTTTGACGGGCCCGGCAAAACTATAAAGGTCAGCATTAATATTGAATCTCGTCCAGCCGTAAGCTACTGATCCTGGAGAAGTGTGTGACGCTATAGAACACCCCCTAGTGGTTCGTTGGGACCCTAAGAAGATACCAGCCGGAAGTAAAACCCAGTGGTTTCTCCACTGGTAAAACTCCTCAGATGAGCTCGGTGCGAGAAGTGGCCTTTGGTTGTCTGAACTTATTCTAGGGTGTCGTTGCGAGGAAAAAAATGGATCACAACTCACTGGATTGTACGCCGATCGTAATCCTAAATGTCCCTTGACGTTCCGTCCAGTTACCGTTGCATCTGGAATATAGATAACGTCACGTAAGAATGGGAAACATTTATATATAAATATATCAAAATAAATTTTATCCCTATTTTCACTTTTTGAAAAAGTACCGTTGTTATTTTTTCACCTGGGTCCCTAGTTGGACATATGGCTTCAGAAGCAAGCGTCCATTGCGCCCTGTTTGCTGTAGTCTTTTGAACCTGGCGTCGCGACTGCCCACAAGCTTTCATTTCTTCCTCACATGATCTCCCCCAAGTCATTCCCGCCTCAGACCCCCAACACGTTGCTGCCCCTCCAGATTTCACTCGATAGCCTGGCGCGTGAACTCCCCAACTGGCCTTCTCGTGTATGCCCAATCCAGTCCATCTTCACTTTCTTCCGCATGTCTAATAGCTGGTGGGTTTTTGGTTGGTTAGTTACCAGACTAGAATTCCCTTTGGCTTGTTCTTTCCGGCAGCTGTTGATGAATATCTGTAGTTTGTAGGAGGCGCTTTACGTGACGCCCCAAGTTTCTGAACCATATAGAAGCATTGACTTGACGTTGGTGTTGAAAATCCGGATGTTGTTCTTTATGCTGAGTGCAATGCAGTAGATCTCCACACTGATTTCAGGTCGACGAAAGACCGTCTTGCTGTCTTTCTGATCCTGGTTTCGACAACTTCGTCTGTGCCTGTGGCGTCTGTAGTTGAAACGCTGCTGCCCTGCCTAGGAAGGATGGGAAAAAAGACTACGTCCTTTAGGTTTCTCCCGTCGATGGTGATGGTACTTGTTGTTCATGCTGTTGTTGGTTGGGTATCCTCATCACTTCCGTCTTCTCTACGTCCACTTGAACTCCCGTCTTCTCTGCCTTTTCTGTCAACTTGCTAGTTCTCGCCTGTAGATCCTTGAGTTTGTGCAAAAAGACGTTAGACATAAATGAGCATCGGCAAAATTCAAATCTTCTCGGCTCTTTTCATCGGTCCAGCCAGCATATGCCTATCTTCCCGCTCCTCACGGTTTCCTGCATGATCCAGTTCACCACAATCAGGAACATGATCTGAGATAGTAGGTGGTAGCCTTGTCTCAATTCTGTCTTTACTTCGAAGGCGTCACTGGGCCTCCCGTTATGGATCACTTGGTATATGGCGTTTTCACATAGCTGCTGAATGAGGTTGATAAAGGTTTTTGGCACTAAGACAGTGGTGTTTGAGCAACTGCCAAATTATTTCTCGGTTGACGCTGTCGACGGCCTTTTCCAAGTCGATGAAGTTGAGGTTGAGTTGACTGTTATTCTGTACTCTGTGCCGTGATGATGCGCAGTGTTACAATTTGGTTGCACATGATTAGTCTTTCCTGAAACCAGCCTGTTCCGGTCGTAATCTTGAATCCAGCGCATCCTTTATTCTTTCCAGGATGATGCGGCATAATATTTTGCTTGGGATGGACGGGAGCATGATTTCTCACCAGTTCTTGCAAAGGCTCATGTCTCTCTCGTTTGGGAGTTTGACAAGGTGGCCCTTATTCCAATCAGTGGGCAGTTACCCTTCCTTCCCTTCAATCCCTTTTCAATAATGATGTGGGCATGCAAGCCGTTGTCTCTGCGTCTATTTTAAGCGCTTCTGGAGAAACTCCGTCTGGTCCTTCCGCTTATGGTAACTGGCCTTCGTTCACTAACTTTCACTGTTTTCGTCTGCGTCAACACCTTCCCGGATGGTAACCCGGTTATTTGATACAATATCGTCAGGTTTCACCTACTAGCAGACTGTTCCGCTTCACTTGCCGGTGCGTCGTATAGGCGTCTTTTGTCTTTGGGCGCACTCCAATTCTTTGTCCAGTGCAGTGTTTTATACGTTGTACTCAGTTCTTCTTTTCGTTGTTCATCGCTGCACTGCAATGGTTCATCTTCTGCTTCGCCATCTTCCTCCTTTCTCTATCAGCTTCCATGTGTCCATCGAGATCCATTCCTTGTCTTGTCCTACTTCTTCTTCCTTCCTAAGACGGTTATGCAGGTTTCTTTTCATATAGCTTTCAAACAGTTCGGTTGTTCTTCCACGCAGGTTTCTTCACGGATGTCGCTCAATGTTTCCCATTTTGTTCTGATGGCCAACGTGAAGATGTAGTTTCGTCCTTCAGTTTCCGTTGTGGCCCTTGAACTTGAACTGTGACCTATCACCAGCTTCTTTTAGGATTTTCAACTTGATTTTGAAGGTTCTTCGCATTAGATAGTCTGGTGTTCTGAATTTGCATCCGCTCCCCTTGTTCATCTGATCTTGTGTCCAGTAGGCTGCGTCTCCACTTTTTTGAGATTGAGATGAAGCCGATCTGACCTTTATTGTGCCCTGGTGTCTGATGAAATCAAATCCGTGTCACTTTGTGAATATTCTTGTGTTCGTACACTGCCTCCAATCAACAAATAGTTGAATGGACAGAATTCTGCAAACAGTTCTCCGTTCTCATTCATTTCACCGAGTGCTTCTCGACCCATGGTTAGTTCTCTTCCTGTGTTGTCCCCTCCCAGTTTGGCATTCATGTCATCCCATCCATCAGAATTTTGATGTCACTAACCGGGATGGGGTCTTGTCCAGTGTTGATTGCAGTTGTCTGTAGAATTTCTCCTTCTTCTCTTCATCTGCATTATTTGTAGGTGCGCAGAATTGAATGATTGTGACTTTCCTTCCTTCCTTCCTTTTGAGTTGAATCCATCTTGCTGTCATGATCCTGCAGGAGAAGACTGGTTCCCACTTCATGAGAGCCTTCGATGCTGTTGGCGACATCATGATAGCCACTCCATAACTTAGTGTGCTCGTGGTTGTCGTCTGGGTGACAGTGACGGGGTAGATTAATGACTCCTCTCCAGTTGATAGTTTGGAGAGTCCACTTCCATTCCATCTGGTTTCGCAAATTCCAAGCACTTCAGTGTGATACCTCTTCATCTCGTTTGCAATCTGGGCTACCTTACCAGCTAGGTTCAAACATGGTGCGGACATTCCATGTTCCCATGTTTACTTTCACTTTCATCGAGAGAAGCGAAGACACATCAGCCAACTGGCTTCCCGAAGGCAGGCTTTTACCAGCTGGGGTTGTTTCGCCTCTCCGGTTCCAGCAAGGAATAAGCTTGTTTTAGTTTCCAAATTTTACCTGTGCTCTGAATTTTTTGTAACAGTTGGATTGGCTTCACGGTGTAGGGTTGCCAGCCTTGTTCAACCCTTTCTGTTTATCCAGTCTTAGGACCGGCGGGTAATTGGTAAGCTAGTTAACCGGGCGAGGTTAGGGTACAATCGGTACCAAAAAGGTAAAATGTGGGAGAACTGCATCCCCTGTATATAAAAATGGCTTCTTGAAGACATGTCTGAATTTAAGAATGAATGGCCCAAACTACTTGGCTGAAAATGCATTTATATACTCCGGAATCTGATGGTTCGACCTGATCGCGGATTTGGTTTGGCCGATAGATTTTGCAACTGCATTACCAGGCACATCGGCAAGTACATAATGTTCATCACTTACCGATCCCTTTTATCATATAGGTTGATAGTTTGAATCAAAAATTCATTGTTGTATGTACAGTGTCAAGGCCGCATTGTTGAGGTCCCTTTTTGATCAAATAATAACACAGATTGCGCCTAGGCATAACATAGAAGCAAACGTACCAACTGCCCTCTGTTATAATTAGGATATTTTCCGGCTACGAGTGACTCAAGGAAGCTACGTACACTATACGAAGGGATACAGTCGTATGTTTTCGGCTGATTGAAAACCTGCTCCGGACCGGACGCTGTGGTGTGACCGGGATAATCGTATTTTGGCCATGGGAGATCAAAGGCCTCTCAGAGTTCTGCACAGTCCACTCATTGAAGAGCGCTGATAATTGACTTTAGGGCTGTGGCTAGCTTCTGAGTATCACTGATTCTTAATTACCTGCCATTTCTAAGAGTTGGGCATGGTAGGCTGATCATTTTCTACTTCAGTGGCTTGGACAGTTAGGATCCTATAACGAATTTTTATCCCTCTTTGTGAGTTTATTACCACTAGTTCGGGACTATCAAGAACCTCTGCAAAATGTATCAAAAAACTGCTCATACTGGAAAAAAGCCCAAATACTTCAAACTGGTGGGTGAATAACTGAAGGAAACTCATCCAAAAAGGTTTGTCTTACTTTAAACTAGGTACACTTCTATTACAGCAAAACACAGCAGGCTTTGGCATGAAAGCACGTAAGGTATCAGTAATCTGACCCGAGATGAAATCGTCCCATTTTCACAGTGAGAGCTTCCAAGTATGCATATTTTTAAGTCCTGCTGTTTGATGAATTCACTGTAATATTTTCGCCTCATATGGTGGGGACTGGATGTATTTCGTTAGGTTCAGTGACAGTCCCCTTTCTACGTTCACCTTTCAGTAGTTATGGACGGTTGTTGGCACTTCCTGACAGAAATTATCTGGTGCAAGTGAGATAGCCTTTATCAGCATGACATTTAATTTTGCAACGTACACACTCATTTGATAATATTGTTTCCTCCCTAGTGATTAGACAGGTATACTCCGATTGCTGAATAGATTCAAACTTTGTTCTTCATACAAAATACCTTGACAAGTATATACCTTATTGGTTTGTTGGAAATGCTTTGTGCGTATAAATCAAGTTTACAAATTTAACACTTCACTTAGTACCCTAATATGTCTGAGGGTTATGGAACTACACCGACAGGTTAAGCGTCTCGGTCAGTTGTAACGCAAACATAAAATATTGTGTCACTTTGATATTACTTTAGTGTGAAGAAAGGATGGTGAATGAAAACGGGTGAAACTCATAAACAATTTGTATGTGCTGTGAAGTGATATTTTCCTGTTCTTTTCATAACTTGCGGACACGTTCAACATTGTGGTAAACTTTAATGTCCCCCCTTCTATGTTACTCAGGTCAGCTGAAGTGTCGAATATTTCTCCACCGCCATCAATTGGACGGTGCCTGTACACTGAACTATTTCATGTCAAACTCCCAATTTGAAAATAGAATATTTATTTAATTATTTACCTATTTATTTACAATGATTGTCCTCACGTTTCACTGTGAGGGTTATTAACAAGACTACGGACGACGAACAAAGTCGTGCGGAGCAATGACCTGGACACAACCCATAATGCAAGAAAAACTGTGAAGGCTTCATGAAAAGGATTATGCAAAGAACACGCAAAATCACATTTTCGGTGAAAACTTTGGAGCTAAAAGTTCTAACGGGTCCAATGCCCCATGGTTGACGCGCTCTTTTCTACATAGTCTGTGTATAATCCCCTTGGAGACTAAAGAAAGTCTTTAAAAATCACAGCAACCATTTATAAATACTTTTGTGATGAAAAAGTGTGAGACGTTGTCACAGTTGTTGTACGAGTTCAAATGTTATGGATGCCCTGTGTAACGCTGCACCCATTTGTTGAGCATTCGTAAACCATCCGTCCAGTCGGTGACCCAAACTCAGATAAGCACGCTAAGAAGAATTTAAGGCACACCTCAGCCTGTTGGTCACTCTCAGTTTATCAATGGGTCAAAATAAGGGTGGAAGTGTAGTCGGCTCTGTTTCTCAAAAATTAGGCCCAGTTACTGCGGACCGTGGTGACTAGTGATTTTATGTTTCCTTCGTTCCCTTTAGAACCTCATACAAAGGTGAGCCGGAAAGGAAACCCCGTACACAAGATTGAAATCCAACAGCGTGGAGAAATGACCTGATGGGCCTCCAGTTTGTCAGTTTCGCAACGCAAATATTCCATTTTGATGATTTTTAAGAACAGCGACTGGAGTCAGGCAGAGAAACGAGGTTCTATCACCTGAAAAGAACTCGCCTCCTACGAAGAAGGAAGGAATGGCTTCAGGTTAAGGAAAACTCATTCTAAGTTCGCACGGGGAAAGTATGCTCACTCCACCGAAAGCTGTACTGAAAGCGTTGTCCAGTATCTCACCGAAGGCCAGGCCACCCCCGATCTCAATGAGCGGCAGTGCACGGTGCGATCGAAAAACCTGGTTTCATCTCATCATCAAACCACAGTAAACAGTCACGAAAAGCTTCTTACTCAAGTAATTCATCACTAAGAGGGGTGAAAATGATTCAGAGATCAACTTGACACTTTCATAGATTTATAGGCCGATATATTGCTAAAGTCAACATTTTTAAGTTCGAAAACCTTTGAAACAGGTTCTGATCTTCATGGTTCTAAGGATATACAATCTGTGACTGAAAGCCGAGATGGAGTTTGTTCTCGGTTTCCGGTCCGTAGGTACGAAACGGGTGCAGGGATTTAATGGTTGGTATGCGAACTTACCAAGAACCCGTTCGTGACATGTTCACACCACTTCCTCATCGGTTTATTCTCGCCAATTTGCTTGCCATCTGAACACATGATTTCTTTCCGGATGTTAATCTCAATAAACCAGTAGAAACAGCCACTGCGGAAGTGCGTAGGCGATAAAAGCCCTTCGAGGAACTGTCAAGATTTTCAACGGCCTTCCGTATGCTGACCAGGTCGAGTAAAATACATAAACTGTGTGACTGAGACGTGAACCTGTGCCACAAAACCGATAACACATCGTACGATGAAATACGCCAAGGAATGAGCACAGGAAAAAACGCTACAACAAGGACTACATAAATTGACAAACAGGAGAAAATGACTGTCAAAAAACGCAGACAACGAGCGAAGCCATCCATCAAAAAAATTAACAGAGAAGAAAGAAAAAACCACAGAAACAATGATCGAAAAGAGGCTGAAAAAAGCTGCGCCGCACAGAAAGGTCTCAAAATGCAAAGGCCTACAAGCATTCCATGGAGGTGAAGAGCAGGTTCTCACTGTTTCTGGACGATGCGCTGAGTAGTGAGGATCCAGACATTCTGCTATCTAAGTTGCAAACCAAACGGACTGAGAAGACCAAGAAGGAGAAGTCTCACGTGCAGCAGCAACAACAACAGCAGGCCACACCTGTGAAAGTCGACACAGTAATCAAGAATGAGACGAAAGTTGATTCAGCAGTCCCGAAAGGTAGGTGGGAATAAAATCTCTAACCAATTCAGCTGCACCTCAACCGTCCAAGTCCCCTGGCTCCACAGAGATACCCCGAGTGCCCCCAGAGGACATGCAGAACTATGCTGCTAAGGAGGCAGAGGAACCAGTTAGTACTTTTTCGCGTGGTCGTGGCTTGGGCAGGGGGGCACCTCGAGGGATGCGTGCAGGAAGAGGTCAGGGACCACGTATGCTCCCAACAGAAACACCTCCCGACTTCGCTGGTGACCTGAATACATCTAGGTAAGTGGGTTTTGATCTCAGTGGTGATTTACAAGAGGGACGGGTTTTGATTCGAGAGGGCGTGGGAGAGGCAGAGGAAGAGCAACGTATGGCCGGGGTCGTGGCATGCCGTTCAACTCAAGTCGCGAATTCGACCATCAGAATGGTCCTGATCGCCAGTGAGTAGCCTTTTTACCTTTCACGTTAATGATGAATTGTTATCCCTGTCCTATGAAATGCGGAAACACTATCTGATGCTTATTTCCACACACGGGTCACAACTAACGAGCCTCTCTCTTATCTTTGTAGGGGTCCAAGACAATATGGTAGGAGAGATGGAAACTGGAACCCACAAGAGGCTGACGGACAAGCAGCACCTGAGGGTGGTGATGCAGAGCAGGCTGTACGTTTGTCAGAAGATCAAACTGCAGTCGGAGACGGGTTGGAACGTCCACAACCGGAGGCTGAAGAAGAGGCGAATGGTGCTACAGAGACACCCGTGGAGGAGGAACCCAAGAGCTACACTCTGAGTAACTTGTCTTGGTGATTTTAAAGTATTGGGAGGACATTATGCTTTCCTCCACGTTACACTTTGCTGTTGTGAATGTAGTGACATTCTTGCGCCTACTACATTGGTTTCTGTACAGCTTCAGATTTTGATTTCATTTATTACCGGGGTGACTTTCGAAGTTTACAGAGAAAAAGAAAGGCAAAGCAGCAAGCAAGGAAAAGAAAACAAAAGTCCAGGAAGAGGTTTTTTTTCTTTGTATGCATGTTTCGCAGTGCCTTAACTTCCTTACTACGGTATTTGTGTTTTTTGTCCACTAAACGTTTAAGAACTTATTTGTTTTGCTAGTTTGGGACTTGGTTTCACGCTCATCACTGTGGGGAGATAAGGCTCTTTTTGGCTCAGTGAAGAGTGTTTGGCTATGATATTGTCCGTAGGGTTACAAATGGAAATTCTGAGCAGATGTTAAGGATGTCAAACTTGAATGTTAAGAGGGCTCACTGATACGTACTCACTCAGTCGGTCAGTTTGCCAGATGATTAGTATGTAATTTGTAACCGACTAAACGCAGAGATTGGTTTGTAGGTCTTCACTTTAATAGACAGTCTTCACATCTGAGAGAATCTTCCATTGAAGAATTTTGCATGCAAGCAGGACTTCAACGGGTTCATTGTGACACTAGGCTTGGTTTGCAGATCGTGACGACTTGTGTTCGGAATGAAACTCACCAGTGCCTGTGTAAGTGAATTTATGTAGCATATTGAAAAGGTGTCAGGTTAGGTTTGTCTCCTCTCATCCAAAGTGGTTCTAGACGTAGGATACCGGACCTGGAACTGCAGTTATATATGCGATTGTATCCTAGTAACCTAGCCGTAAAGTACATCTGGGCACTTTTTGGTTTGTCTTTGTTGTGGATACTAATCGACGTAAGCTAACGGTATTCCAGTAGCAGTAGCGGCCGTACGCAGTTCTTAAAGAGTAGCAATTTGGCATTTTCAGAGTGGAATTTACTGATTGTGCAACCCAATAAGATAGATTCGCGCGTCTTTGATGCGACCTTTTCAGGAAATGTAAGGTCACCTGAGCACCTCAGCCTAAGGTCACATACATCTTTAAGAACACGTAGTGTCGTTGGCCCTTGGATGTAGTTGGATGTCTATCGGGGAGTACTAAAACATCGAGCCACATTTGCTTATATTGAACTGAAGTTTCCAAGCAGTAGACCATGTGGATGTTGTATCAACTCCCCTTATACTAATGCTTGTAATTCGAATAAACTAGCATGAGGAAATGTGTATGCAGCTTTTGGGTCATCAGCAAACAAGAATGGTTTATCGTCTGTAAAGCAGCTGTAAGTGTCATTGAGGTATGAAGTAAGGAGGAGGGAATCTACTACACTGCCATGAACTACGTTATAGATGATTGGGGATAGGTCTTGAGGTGTGTGAATCCACTCTCACCACTTGAGTGCGATTACTGAGGAAAGATTTAGTCCATCGTAATAACAGATAGTCGATTCCTACAGACTTCAACTTGCCTATTAACAGTAAGTGATCAACTGTGTCAAATGCCTTTGAAATGTCTAGATAAAGTACGGGGACTAATTAGTGTCGGTCACGCATAGTAGTTATGGAGCTAAGGGAGTCAAGGTGGTAAGTTATGCAGCACCTCGCTTTTAGGAACCCATGTTGACTTGATGTGAAAATGTTACCCAGCATATACTAAGAAACGCCCTACTAAATGGCTTTCTCCATAATCCCAGAAAACAACAGGCGTAGTATTTATTGGTCTCTAGTAACTGGCTAGTGTTTTTGGACCCGATTTATGTGTAGCGACGACAGATGATGTTTTTCCGACATCAGGGTAGCCGGAAGGGTCTAGAGACATGGAAAGTATAATAATAATGGAATATCAAGGCCACCATATTCAAAGAAGTGTCAGCGCTTCTGGCATCTTATTGGCTGGTTAGTGTCAGCATATATAATTTGAAGAATACTTAATGGGGTTATTATGAGCGAAGAACAGTGCTGGTATCACAGGAAAGAGCTTCATGTTCGAGATAACTGGCTGGAAATATATCGCTGAATATTTCACACCTGTCTATTCGATTACTGTTATCGTTAGTGTAATGAATAAGAAGAGGAATATTGCGGCTTATGCAATTCGATCACTTCTTAAGGAGTGCTGAGAGAGCATATACTCTAGATGAGCTGGCTAGCATACAACTTTCTTTACTTTTCACATGCATGTTGTGTTTTTTAAAGATGCAGTTAAGAACATTAAGAATCCATCGAGGTTATGGTATCGGTGATATCATACCGGAAGTGTGAGTAACTTCTACGAGCACTAGGAGGTATAAATGGCATCGGCCTGGGGCGTTCTCTGAAACCTTTCAACGGAACAATGGTGTCGAGATGCATTGGGATTGTAGTAAAATATATTTATGGCTAGTTTAAGGCCAGCAGCAGTGAAGTATAATCCCCAGTCAATGCACCTAGTCGGTGAACTTATTAACTGCCAGTCAGTGCTTTTGTAATCCTTATACGTTGTGGAATGGAAGTGCTAGTTGAAGAAAGTTGTAATCCACTCAATACCTTTTTGTGATCATATCCTGGAAATATGAAGCCTACATTTGTCAGAAGAGGGCTTATGTTGTGACAAGATATTAGGTCTAATACATTGTCTTGTAGGATAAGTATTAATTTGTTTCCATACAAAAATATCAAGTGCACGATGAAGTTTGTCATACTTAGACCAGTAAGTGAACACGATTTAATTTAAGGTAGGTTAAAGTCACCGCATATGATGTGATCATATGTAAGCGAGGATGCATGTTCTAGAGCTGTAATTAGTAGGGTCACTACAGGTATCCCTACTGTTTTGCACCTGTCTGACTTAATACTGGGTAGCCTGGAGGAATACGGATGAAGTGTACAGTCAGTGAAGTAGAATATTGCGTCGACGCAATATTTATCCTGTCGATTGCCTCACACCAACTGACTTCCATCGACGTATCTGCCGACGCTATCTCCCAGCTTGGGGACATTGCAAAATGATCGATAGAATTCGGAAGACGTATTCCCTGTTGAGAAACGCTCGCCTAATAATGGCTACCTGTAGAGGTCTACTGATAGATTCAGAAAGTAATACGAGGAGGATACAGTGCAGCACAGTTAAGAAGCCTTTCCGTTTACAAATCAGCCCTCACGTATGATGAAAGTGCTGCCAGACTCAGGTCCCGATTATATTCTACCCGTTCTCAGCTGTCAGACTGATCTATTTATACCAGACGGATCGTACTTTATGGTGGCTGAAAGTGCACAAATTCCAACTTCATGTTACTTCCAGTCGTATCAACCAGCCTACATGTACTTTCCACGGCACATATTTTGGACGACGAAAGCGGAGGGTTTTCGTTCGCATTTCTGAGCAGATCTCCAAAGAGTCTACGACTAAGCAGTCTACATGCCTTTGATAGCACAATCACGCATCGTCTGATTGATACTAAACACGACATAGTGATCAGCTGACCAATGAGCTCAATCTCATTGCATTTTTCTGAGTTAATGACCCTCAACTCGTTCAAAGTAACTGATGAGAAAAAGATCTCAAACTTGTCACGTAATCCCGAAGCAACGGCTACAACCAATGCTTGCCTACCATAAAGCGTATCTGCATCAGATGATAAGTGAAATTAATAAATACTAACTGGACAAGGCCTATTCTTTGAAGGTTTTTGGCCCTCATAACAAGTGCTCATCGTCATTCATAGACCAAGCATTCAGGCGCGTTCTTTCCATCTTCCAAAGTTGAGCAGTATCAGAAATATTATGGATGATAATATTCTTTTAACATATAATACGTTGGTGCACTTCCGTTGGAACAAAATTAATGAAGGTTGAGGTTGATATCAATGATGAGGACGAGGTGTTGAAAACATTGACGTACTGATCAGATAACAGTTGAGAAACCTTGTCTTGTAAATTTTTAATACGGATGAACATTTCATCTGTTTTCCGAAGCTTGATCTTGTGCCTACAGCACCAGTAAGCAGAAGTAGACTATCTAATTTAGTTTCCATGTTAACGGTTGCTGACAAGTTAGTCTCTATATCTCACCTATCAGCTGCATTGTCATTGTCGATGTCTTCAATAACATTGGTCGGTAAACAGTAAGGTGACGAGAAGGAGAGTTTGGAGTCTAAATTGATTGGGAGAACTCATGGAGATGTGTAAATACTTTTCTTAGAATTGGAAACTTTACTCTTAACCAATACATCTAGATCATTGATAGTACTCAGATTGGTAAGGGAGATATGACGTGAATTGAGTTTACCGTCATGCTAAAAATGATCTGACTAAGGTTTATGTAACTGTTATCTCGTCTAAACTTCACAACCTAGATTGGTAAGTTGTCAAAATGCATCCGAAAATACTGAAAACTGAAGTTCAACAAGCAGAAATGATAGGCTACTCCAAAGTAGATAGTTATCTAACCAAGAAGTATTCCAGAGCTTCAAGACCTAAAGAATTACTGACAACGACTACAGAACAGGTTTTAGAGTTCGCTGTACGAAAATGGCGTTATAAGTGTAGCTATGAATGCAAAAAATAAGTTTACAATAACCATGCGGAGACGCAACACAATTTTCGTCTTATGGCACAAAGAAATACTCATAAAAAGTGGATTTAGTCAGTTAGAGGCAATCAGCAGGAAGCCGTGGGCCTAGGTTTCGTGCTTGCTGACACCCGTTAATAAGGCATACCTGCAACCTTGACGGAACTGAAGTTCCCTGTGGGATTCCAGCTCCCGTCACCCAGTATTGCAGTCAACGACGTTACGACCCAGCTATCTGAAGGGAGATTGACCTTCGGTCTCACTTGATTAAATACATTTATTGGTCACTGGAAAGCAACCAATTTCATGTTGTCTAGTTCTGATTGCTGACTGGGTTATAGCGATCATTTTCGCGATGTGGCCACCAAGCTAAGAAGTTCGGCATCAGAGTGATGAGTGCTAGGAGGCTCGAAACTAGGTCC